TGTTCGAGGATAGTATTGTTTTACGTAAACAAATTATTCTCCTTAGAAAAAACATTTTCTAACCTTGTTCATTTCTACATTAATAGGATTGCAATATTTGGTGTACATTGGGTTGTCTACATTACTATTTACAGAACATTACAAATTATAGTTAATTTACTTAACAAGAAAAATAAATCAGCATCTCTAACTGCTTCTACACAAATAAAACATAATTTAAAAATGAAAATTCATCAATCCACTTCAATGAAACTAGAATTACTGTTCAATTGCAGCTTTTTGTTCTAAATTGTCTCCACCAAAATATTAAATTAAATTTTTAGCAATTGCTGATAACGACTATTTTATTTACTATTCCTGATTTTTCGCATTAAAACAATAGTCTATAATAAAAAGTAACTAAATACTCATAATTAATGACTAAATACTCTTTTAGAAACTCCAAATAAAAATATGTAACAGTTTTCAATCAAATTTTACGAGATGTATTTAAAAATATTACTGATTAATTAATTATTTCTACGTAATATTTGATGGTTTGTTCAAGTATAGTATTGTTTCATGTAAACATTTGTTTATTATTGCTTTATTAGGATTCGTAATATTTGGTATATATTGGGTTATCTGCATTACATTACAAATTATAGTTTAGTTTATTCAATATAGAAAAATATAAATTATCATCTCTAATTTAATCTACATAGATATAATATACTTTAAAAATGAACATTCATCAAAGTACTTCAATGAAACCGAAATTAAATTTTAAATTGAAAATATAAGCGGCAATAACGATGTAACATCACGATAAAAAACGATAATGAACGAACTTGTATTGCCCTCAAGTTCTAAGTGCGTATAGCAAATTGAATCCAAAAATAAATGCCTCAAGTGACGTCAGATACGGGCAAAAACCACGGGCGGAGCTTTAAGATTGAATTCCTTTTTATTTTATTCGTAATAAAATGTCATTGTACTACATTAACTTACTTGTAACTTCAAGAATATGTAATACAATGAAGTAGAACTTGGAGATTGTAATTGTAAATCATTATTTTTATGGATTATAAAGGCAAATGTTTGACCATTTTGTTGAACCTACGTTAAAACTAGATGCGCGCCTATGTTTTTTCCTAATTTCTTGACAAGGGCAAATACAATGTGACTTCACAAGAATAACGTTTAATTCCTGACATTAAGGTGTTCGCAAGTCGGATTTTGTAAATGTTAAAACATGTGACGGATTCTTAACATCCCTAACCGCATCTGCATGCAAAAAGCATTTATCAGAGATGAACATTCATTATTTACTTTATTAAAACTGGAATTATCATTTAATTACAACCGCTGTTTGCACTAAAATTTTTGATAAATTTTTTTTTTCATTACTAATAAAATTTGTCTGACTTTATGAACGTCTTATTTTCGGTATTAAAACAATGGTTTACAAAAAGAAATAAGTAAATTAGTTTCTAAATACTCTTTTAGAATCTCCAAATAAAAATGTGTAACGGTTTTAAACGAAATTTTACAAGATGGCATTAAACATAATTAATCATTTCTGAATGATATTTGATGATGTCGTCGAGAAAAGCATTGTTCCATGTAAAAAAAAAATCATTTTCTAACTTTGTTTGTAGTTACATTATTAAGGTTGTGATATATGTTGTATATTGGGTTGTCTATATGTATTAGAAATTTCAGTAAAAAAATATATAAATTAGCATCTCTAACTGCATCTGCATAGATAAAACATAATTTAAAAATGAAAACTCATCAGTGCAGTTTTGCGATTTACCCTAATTTTTCTTGAGCCTGACCTAATTAAACAATGTGGTTACGAATAAAATCTTTTGAAAATAAATGAGCCACATAATTTTATCATAGTAAGTTTATCTGTTTATATTGTTTATATATTTTATATTTTTTTATATTATCTATCTGTAATCGTATGTTTTTAATTTATTTTTATGTTGATTTCGTTACTGTGGTTTATTAATTCCTATAAATTTTATATTAAATATATAAGCGGCAATAACGATGTAACATCACGATAAATACGGAAATGAACGAACTTGTATTGCCCTCAAGTTCTTAGTGCGATAGCAAATTGAATCCAAGTGCAAGCGCCTCAAGTGACGTCAGATACGGGCAAAAACCACAGGCGTAGCTTTAAGATTGAATTTCCTTTTAGTATATTCGTAATAAAATGTCATTATACTACATTGTAACTTACTTGCAACTTCACGAATTTATAATGCAATGAAGTACAACTTCGGGATTATAATTTTGAATTATTATTTTGGTAGTTTATAAAGATAAATGTTTGGCAATTTTGTTAAACCTATGATGAAAATAGATGCACACCTATGCTTTTTCCTAATTCCTTGACAAGGTCAAATAGAACGTGACTTCACAAGAATAACGTTTAATTCGTGTCTGTTCGTGTCACAAGTGTTGGGTGGTCGATGTACTCGGATTCTGTAAATGATGTATGTTAAGTTCAGTATGATGTGAGTACTTATTTTGGTGTTAATATTCAAAACATGCAAAGTAATTTACATTAATTGTTTAATCGACGCTCATATACAATGTTCATTGTTAAACTTTAAAGGAAATGAAACAGTTTAATAAAATGTGAATCATTATTCATTTTGAGGCAGTTTGAAGGTGTATTTTAAAACCTTACAAGAAAACAACGAAGTTTTTCTATACTTTAGAAATAATGACTGAAGAACAACCAGCAACTAAGGCAGAAAATATACTTAAAGGATTCCAAGTGTATCCTTTTTTCAAAAACAACTTAAAGATGAAGTACTTAAACTATAGTACAATGTTTCCTTTAACAACAATCTAGTAATTGGATTTGTCTTCGAGATGCAGATGGAGGTAAAATTTTCTGGCAAGGCTCTGAAGATTTAAGTTTACCTGATGTAGAACATGAAGCCAGAGTTCCTAAGTCTATTTTAAAATGTCGTGCAGTTACAAGGCAGTTTAACTTCAGTTCTAAAGAAGCTATAGAAAAGTTCAGGTTAGAACAGAAAGTTCTTTTTAAAGGCAGGTGTCTTGAAGAATGGTATTTTGAATTCGGTTTTGTTATGCCAGAATCAACAAATACTTGGGAATCCATAATGGAGGCAGCTCCTGAGTCCCAAATGATGCCTGCCTCTGTCCTTAAGTAGGCATTGTCTTGTCAAAATGCTTTGCATGATATTTATATATTTTATGTTTTTAGTGGCAATGTTGTTATAGAAACGAAGTTTTACGACGATGATTTGCTCATCTGTATATCGAGAGTGAGACTGTTTTACATTTAATATGTTAAAAGTATTATGTATTTGCATTTTGAAAGTATTTTATGCATTTAATGTATCATATACTCTCTCGTACACTATTAATACACTCAAATAATTTACTATTATAAGTATTTATTAAATAATATTAAGATCAAATATATTGTATGTATGTAATGCACATTGATTTTTCTTTATTTGTACTCGGCTGTCTCTTAAAAAAGATAAGAGTAAGAATTATAGGGGAAATTACTTTGACAAATATAGTGGCTACAAAATCTACGAAGAAATCCCTGGGGAATAGATTAAAAAAAGAGACCAAAGGAAAGATATATTAGGTGAAACATTAACAGGATGCAGAAAGGTAAAACGAATGGTAGATGCAGTATACATAATAGAGACAATAATACAGGAGGAAGTATAANCAATCAAAATACTTCGAGATTGTAATTTTGAATTATTATTTTTATAGTTTATAATGATAAATGTTTGACAATTTTGTTAAACCTACGATGAAAATAGATGCACATCTATGCTTTTTCCTAATTCCTTGACAAGGTCAAATAGAACGTGACTTCACAAGAATAACGTTTAATTCGTGTCTGTTCGTGTCACAAGTGTTGGGTGGTCGATGTACTCGGATTCTGTAAATGATGTATGTTAAGTTCAGTATGATGTGAGTACTTATTTTGGTGTTAATATTCAAAACATGCAAAGTAATTTACATTAATTGTTTAA